CTGGCTGCAGTCGGGGAAAAGTGCCGAGCAGCGAGCACACGTTCCCTTCAGATTGCTCTGCTTTTCATCTGCGACTGAGGTGTAACAGCGTAAATGTGCAAAATATGTGGCTTTATGCGTGGATTCGAGTTAGAGGATCCCCGACTGAGCTATCTGGGGGCATTTAATCCTAGCACGGTAAAAATGCAGTGTAGGAGAGGGTTACAGCCCCGGAGGTCACAATATCGTTATATTAAAAAGGGGCAGGGGGAAGGGAGAGGATTGATGTGGCGCTTTGTGAGGGGAGAGGCTTCGCCCACAGTCCTGCAGCAAGTGTGGATGAAACTGGATGCAGGAGGAAGCGCTTCTGCTCTCCAGCCTCATGCACTACGCAGCAAAGTGTGCTGTTCCTGAAGACCATCTTTCGTCATGCTGCTCTACAAGGAACTGCCAGTCACACATCCAGGGGTAGAAGTATCCATGGCCAAAACCCTTGCATGTTAATAAGTTTGCTACAGCGTACATTGCTGAATCTACCTCAGCACACAATGCTCAGTAACTTACTATTATCATCATTTAAATATTTACGTACTTCTCCTCCCCACAGGTGCTTTGAGGCATGAACTTGTCTCTTGTGATGTGTTCATGCAAGGCTTAGCACAGGGGAGAGCAGATCAAGGCTGAAACCTCCAAATACTATTATCTATAAATAAGTAACAGTAATGTTGCATGGGATATATTTCCAAGACTCCACCACGTGCACTGAAGAAACCTTTGAGTCCTGCAATCCTGAAAGACATAAGTTCCTGAACAGAACTTCTCACATGTGCATAGTTAGCTCTGCCATCCCCATCACCTGTGTCTCACGGGGTCATCGTACTCAGCCCGTTGCTCAGTAAAATCCCACAGCACGTGGTTGCTCTGTAGCTGTGTGTTGTAGCCTTCTGTGCAGGCCATGATAACTTTGTGGTGTTGTATCAGCCATGCAGGGACGTTGATACATATGTCACCCCAGTGGTTCACGTCCTCCTTTGCACCGTATTTTTGCTTTGCATGTAGCTATCTACTATATTAGCTTAATTTTCTCAGTTTTTGAACAATGCAAAATAATGAACTAAACTAAACTCACTTTTCTTTCTTGGTTTGTCCTCCAGATCTAACTGGCTTTACACAGACAATGCTCCCAAAGACTGTATGATAATTCCTGGTGGCCGAAAGAGGAGGCACATTGGGGTCCGTACAGAAGAGGAACGAGAACAGGAGGGCAAGAGCTTCCTACTGCCCCTCTGGCAGAGGTACCAAGTGCGTGGCCTATCTGCAATACGAGCAAAGTACTAGTTTTCCGAAAGCCAGTGAGACTGAGAGCCACCCTGAGGCACTTGGAGCCCAGGAAGAAGAGAGGCGGCGCCAGCATGGATAAGGACAGCACAAACCTGGCTGACCAGCAGTATGAATGTGTGGCTGAGATTGGGGAAGGAGCCTACGGGAAGGTGTTCAAAGCCCGAGACTTGAAGAATGGAGGTCGCTTTGTTGCACTGAAGCGGGTACGGGTGCAGACCAGCGAGGAGGGGATGCCGCTATCCACCATCCGAGAGGTGGCAGTTTTGAGGCACCTGGAGACATTCGAGCACCCCAACGTGGTCAGGTGAGGAAGTGGGGCAAGCGTCCCGATATCAGTGGGGTCCTTGGTTTAGTACATGAATTGGGCAAGCAAGAGTTTGGGTACATCAATGGACTGGACACTAGTTTGGGTTTGTGGATGAAGTGAGTGCTAAACTGTGTACATTGTACATGAAGTGTGGTTTGAGGCTTCAGCAGGCCATGGTGCTGCCTGCCAGACCTCACCTCATCCCTGTGCATTGCCTCCCACACACACAAACACCCATCTCCAGAGGCATAGGTGTGTGACTTAAGTGTTTGAGTGGATGGGCAAGGAGCCATGTATACACTATTTCCTCAGGCATAAGCAAGAATGAAAAAAACCCAGTGTCTCCCTGGTTTTGTCTTAAGTATTAGTTCTGCCAGCTGCAGCTAGTTTTTAGCAGCTCTATTCATTATTGAAATGGCAAAGATTATGAGAGCAGTGGTGGAATGTGTGTTTCATGTTTTTAGATGCTTTTATAGAGAGTTGTAGATTATCATGTTAAAGAGAAGTAACAGCTTAAGACTTCAAGCTTTGCAGGCAGCCTTAAAGTTGAATACTGTTTGACTGGTACTAACTTCACCATGTGCTGATGATTGTGCTACCAAGAGTGCACCAGCACAGACACCAGGCCTTGCTTGCAAAATGGTGCCAATGGCCCCAGGATATCCTTTCTGTCGTGTCAGTAGGATAAAACCCAGATAAATGACCTGTGTTCTTGAACAGATTATTTTAATGATAAGGCTGGCCATACCATAACCTCTTACATTTTTCTATAGCTGGAAACCTCCAGCAGCCTGTAAGCATCTTTTATTAAAACTATGAACTTTAAGAAGTAAGCTTCACTTTGGAGATGCCCAGGTACGCAATGATTTGAAACTGGTCAGCATCTTGCTGATGATGCTGTATTAGCAAGAATATTTCCTGTTATTTGCGTTATTGTATGCACATATTACAGAGCAAAAGGAAAATATTTTATTCTTCACTGAGACCAAGACTCTTTCAATCCTAGAGAAAAAGTAACTCTGAAGTTAGAGGTGACCTTCAAAATGGCTTGTAGCTGTGATCTTCCTGTTTTAGGGTCTGAGATGAGGGGGTTTATAGTAGGTGCAAGAAGAAAGGTGAGACAGAGAATAATATTTAAAATACAAAAGTGAATAGAGATAAATTCATTTTTGCTCATCTCAAGGCAGTGTAATACAACAGTCTTATTTCTGTCTAAACTGAATAGGCAAAGCACGTGTATTCTGAATTACTGATGATGGAGTGCGCGTCATCGGTCTCACTGCAGTGAGCAATGGGATACAGATAGCAGCTCACTCTTCTCCATTGCTAATCAAGCAAATCCACAGTTTGGTTAGTAACCATTATTTTCACTGGCACCTACTAATGCTAGAGCCTCAGTCAATAAATTTCAGAAGTGGGGGCATCTTTGTGTGCACAACGTGATATTTGACCACCGAATCAAGTGGCTTGGTTTACAGAGGAAAACACAAAAAGTTCTTCCTTGGCAGTAGAGTGATAATTGAGAGTTCTCAAAATCTCTGAAATCCAGCCCAATAATTTATGAGAGTAAATGAGGATTTAGTGGTCCAGGTTTAGACATTTACATATTTGAAAATTCTAAACTGTGTTTGGGAATAATTCAACATAATACTTGTGAATTTTTCTGCCACTGAGATCTTTCCATATGATGTAAAAGATTTTTCTTAAGAGCTTTTAATCCTGAATTCAGTAAAATCATGAAAATAAAAATCTTTTTTTCCAAAGAGCTATTTGATGAACTATGTAGCTGCAGGCTTGTTTTGCTTGAGTGTAAAAGTGCAGTGTAATATCAACACAGCATTGCATAAATACATTGAAGCTTAAAATATTTTTACAAGTTTGAAGGAAAATTCATTCTCTGCAAGCAGTAAGTATTTCAACCACCAATATGAGAATGTAGTTTCAATATAAAAATCTCTGAAAATGTGTTCCAGGTCCTCATAGTGGTGGTGTGAAGCCTGTACCTTTCGCGATAAGCAGCATTTCAGACGCAAGAGGTTGGTCTGTGATGTATCAGGGTGCTTGGGACCTCAGCTGCACACCTTTTTCCACAAACAGGCGGGGGAATAGAAGAAGTAATTTCAAACATTCTCTCTTTAAAATATGAGGAACACTATTTAAAAACTCACCTCTGCTGTGCTTGTTTTTAATCTGTAGAGCAGCTGAAGCTATAAGTAGCACTTTGGAGTGACTGAAATCATATCCTCATAATGAAAGACTATTTGAAAATACTTAAACGCCCCAGTGCCGTTACAAAATACGGTAGAAGAGTCTGTAATTTATTGAAATTAAAGGTCTATTTTTGTATTATGTAAATATACTCAGAAAAGGAAATACTGTAAAAGGATATCTGCAATTTTAAGCAGCTGACCTAGCTGTACTTAATTACTGAAGATAGGCTTACAAAAATGTTCATTGTTTGGGCATGCATTCTGGAAACCGGTATCATGGCTAGGCTACTAAATAAAAATAATGTCAAATGTATTGTCTACATGCTGGATTAAAAAGTACATAATTATCAAAGCACTGGGATAGTAGCACAAATATTTGAAACCAAATTTTTCTGATTTGGAGGGGATGTCTAGCTTTTTTCTGAATGTTACAGGCAACTAGCCTAGGAGAAATAGGTGAGAACTGCAAACATAATGTTGAATCTGTTACCTCTGAGTAATGGCACGTGTGATCCATGAGTTGCTCAATGCAAACCAACAGTCATTCTGTGAGTCAGAATTTAGACAGACTTCAGACAGTTGAGCCGCATGTGCCCTGTGTTCGGCTGTGGTACTCTGGCATCAGCTGATGGCAATGGCAGAAATCTCAGGCCACGTGAACTTAGGCTGAATGTCATGCTGAACTCAAATGGTAGGTCTGGGCATCTCCAGAGAGTCCAGTAAGGAGCTCAGCAGTCCAGGGCTTCTCTGTCTCCCTGAAGTGGTGCTGAATGTGAAGAACAGTTTGGTAAAGAAAAGACCCAATACTTTCGAGGCAGAATTAGAGCTCCATGGCGTTGTTGGTCAGGGAGCCAGGATGCAGGGCCAGCATTGCTACTGCAGCCCAGGTTTGTCATAGCAGTCATAGATTCCCTTCCTCTAACGTTTTGAGAAACGCTTAGAGCCAAAAATGGTTTCAATTGCTTGGCATTGGGAATGGAAGAGAATTTTCTCCATAAAGTAGAAATGTCTAAATAGCATAGAATAATTTTTTTAAAAAAATTTATCATATTTTCCCATGCTACTGCTTGCTAATTGAGAGATTTGTTTCGCTTTCCTTCCCTCCAAGTCTATCGTTTCCATATTCATATGATGAAAAGATGCATTTTTTTGCAGCACTGTTGCTTTTATAACAATAGATAGTGAAGTTAGATAAGACTTCACTGCAGAATAAAGCAAAACAAGATAAGAAGTGAAAGGAAGTCTGATCTTCATCAGAAAAGCGATGGTAGTGGAAGTCTCTGGACTATTGACTAGAATGGAAATAAGATCTGGAGGACTGATCAAAAATTTTGTAAGAATGTCAGAAATAGTATACAGAAAGGCATGGGAAAAATACAGTTAAAAGGGTGATTGCTATGTGCATAAAATCCTCTCCTGTTCATACTTGCCCTTGTATAGAGTTCCCTTCTGTCAGGACACCTTACTCTATTCTGTTTATCTTCATGAAACAAAGCAAAAAATAGAATCTTCAAGAGTAAATCTTACTGTGAATTGCTCTAAAATGAGGTATGTTGTAGGCTTTGAAATGTTCTTTGTAACTGGCAGGATGATTAAGGTGCTCCTCTAGCTCACCATTCAGATAATAAGATGTAATGCTTTACTAAAGCTTTACTGTATACAGTAGTTAAATCTGGCAAAAGTTGGTCCAGCACTTAATGTAGCTTAGCACTGTTCTGTTTGGGAAAAATGAAATATATGTAGACAAAGAACAGACTTTGCCAGGAATAAATGACATATTAGATTCAGGAAATTCCTGTGTGTAAAACTGGGAGTATTCCCTGCTGCAATATATCTGTAAAAATGCTTCTTGTGATTATAATGCTAAATTCATGAATATATTGTATTCATTTTTTCTCTCTCCTGCTGGTAATCAGATGAATAATTGTCCCTTCCTGTTAATCATCCATCAGACTGTGAATTTGCAGTCTGGGAAGGTGATATATAAGACAGAATACTGTCATTCTTGCTGTGCTTGTTTTCTAACACACACATATATATTTAACAGTTTTAATAGTGTTAAACCTTAAGCAAATAGAGCAAACCTGCAAAGCTGTATATTTTTGCTTCCTGGCTCATAGTTTTTTGATAAATACAACTTTTTTAGTATTTTCATGGGTTAGTAAGTCTGCAATTTTAAAATAACCAAAATCATATTGAATATAATCTATTAGAATATAATCTAATCTGGGTTGTAATTTCAAAGATAAGTGTCAGAAATCTTGCTATTCAAGGTCATCATTGCCATATAACGAATTGAAGATCTTAGTTCTCTCCTTCCTGTTAATTTGCAGAATAGGTGCCCCAGCTAATTGACTTAGGTTCAACAGAATGATCCACCCAGCTGGAAGTGTAACTCTATTCCTCAGTCTTTTTGGTGTATAGATCAGTGTGGGGGAAAACCAGTAGTTATGAGTATTTGTACAGTTATGCCATGTTCAAGGTTTTATGTTACTTTATATCCATTGACATGTAAATGACACTGTAAACTGCCCTCTGCAGTACAGCAATACTGTCGTGTTGCTTTTTGCCTGCTTTCACAGTCCAGCGGTCCATGCTGTTATCTCTTGGGTTGCACTTGAGTACTTGATGGAGTCCATTGACTGATTCCCTTGGCAAGGCAACCTGAGTGTGGGGGGAAGAGGCCAGGCACACGTGACTCCCCCATCCCCATGTGCCCTGACATAAAGACCGGCACTTGGCTCTGCTCAAAGGTCCCCAAAGAGTATAATGGCTTGGTGCTTAAAA